GGGCTGGGGTAGCTGGGCTGGACACCCCAAAGGGATCTGGACACCCAAAATGGGGTGTCTGGGTGGTTTCCTTCATCACTTACCCCAGCAGCGGTCACTGGGAAAGGGCTCGTCTAACCCCAGGAGCCATGGGGTTGGTTTTTTAGGAGTGGGGGTCCTCTTGGACTGCAAATGTGTCCCAATTGTCCAGAACACTCCTAATCCTTGCACCAAAACACCCCAGAGGTAAGCTCAGGTTTGCAGGAGAATCTGTATTTCTCCCCAGGGGTGGGGGATCAGGGTAATTTACTGCAGTGAGAACAAATTTTTTCATGTTTTCTTTTCCTGCCCACAAAATTGCTCGGTTTGTTCCTTCAGAGCCCTCACAGATGAAAGTTTTGGGACTGGTCAGTGCAATCTGCTCTCCAAGGAGACTTCATCTGGCCTCCAGGCTGCCTTGCTTTGTTCCTGCAGAGAGAGAGAAATATTTAATATATCAATTACTCCTATAACTAACCCACTCCACAGCTTCTCAGTTGTCTTAATGGGTGCTCGGATCTAAGCCTGCTGGCAGTGCTGGGAGGTCTGGGGATGGTCACAACCCTGTGACATTGCCACCAGGAGGATATGGAGCCCTTTTCACTCTCAGCAGCCTATGAGCAGCCCCACCAAGCTGGCTCCCATTCAGCCACATGGACGAGGTATGTGAAGAAACGAATGCCCCACTTTGGTGTGAGGATGCTCTTGCTCCTGACGTTATCTCACAGGAAAAAGCAGGCAACTGGGAGCAGGGCAGAGGAAAGCCGGCCATCCCGCAGGGCACAAGGAGGTGCTGAGACACAGCAGCGCAGCTCTGCCTTCCTCTCCTGATCCCAGACTGGCCAGATGCCCATGGGGGGTCATTCCTGCCCTTGGCGAGGGCTGCGCTGCATCCTCAGCCATAGCAGTGGAGGTTGCAAGGCTCATGGGGAAAGCTCATCCCCAGGGAGCTTTCACCCTTCCACCCTGGGAACAGAGCTGAGCCGGCTCTGTAGCAGGAATCCACTCGCCAAGTCAGCTGAATGCCCCACTTTGGTGTGAGGATGCTCTTGCTCCTGACGTTATCTCACAGGAAAAAGCAGGCAACTGGGAGCAGGGCAGAGGAAAGCCGGCCATCCCGCAGGGCACAAGGAGGTGCTGAGACACAGCAGCGCAGCTCTGCCTTCCTCTCCTGATCCCAGACTGGCCAGATGCCCATGGGGGGTCATTCCTGCCCTTGGCGAGGGCTGCGCTGCATCCTCAGCCATAGCAGTGGAGGTTGCAAGGCTCATGGGGAAAGCTCATCCCCAGGGAGCTTTCACCCTTCCACCCTGGGAACAGAGCTGAGCCGGCTCTGTAGCAGGAATCCACTCGCCAAGTCAGCAGTTGACAGTTTTATCCTCTCGCTTACAGACTCCAGAGGAGCAGCAAAGCTTTGTGCCAGCATACGAGGAAGGCGGCATGGCAGAAACGTGCCCGCGATAAACCTGACGGCTGTTCCGCTGTTGGAGCAGGTCCCTTGGTGTGCGACATGCGCTTGTTTGCATGGGGGCATCCGAATGCAGGTGCTGCGGTGCAAACCTAATCCAAGTCTGTCTGAACCACCATGGCCATGAGAGAGGAGCTGTTGTTTATAAAATATGCTTCGATTGACATGTGTCGGCATGGTTCAAGCATCATCCTGAAATGCAGTTTGGTTTAGATAGGGAATGGATCCCTGGGAGATGCGATGGAAACCCAGAGCAGGCAGAAACAGCTTAAAAGATTTGCAGTGGAAAGCTGCAGCTTGAGGACTTGAGTTTTCTTTTTCCCCTTTGAGTTTTCATGTCCACAAGAGGACAGGAGAGCTTTGAAGTTGGAAATAAGAGGTCATAGCTGAGCCCTCTGAAGGGGGGAGGAGCAAGAATTGCTGCTTGCAGCATGGCAGCAGCAAACTGGGGCCAGCAAGGCAGAGCCCTGGGCTGTCAGGGGCAGGTCAGTGGTGGCAGTGCGGTGTGTGACCCCGGTGGGAAGGGCTATCAGTGCTCAGTGTTACAATGGCTATGTCTGCAGAAGTATTTAGGGCAGTAGGTAGTTAGAAAATAGCTTGGTCTTTGTCCCTAAAGAGAGCTTGGTTCAAATGTTTAAACCCCTTGTGTGAGAGGACCTGGTCTTAACTGCTTCCCTCAGGTTTATACCTTTAAATAGCTGCAGGGAAGTGCTCCTGATTTGGGTGTGTTCGGGGCTTTTAAATAACGGAGGGTCTCTTCTTTTACCAGGTATACAGTCAGATGGGGTAAAGATGCTACTTGCGGTCTGCTGTGGCCAGAGCTGGGAGATTTTGGCTAGTGCTTGGCGTGGGAGACTTTAAACCTGCTCTCCTAAAGGGCTGCCTGGACCAGCACCCGCCAAGGTGTTCCAGGAAGGTGCCAGGAGAAGGAGAGGCTCCCCCAGGGCTGCCACAGCAACACGGATGGCCCGGCACCGGCCACGTACAGCATCGCCCCGTGGGGACTGGTCCCTCAGTGCCGGACATATCTCATTGCTCCCCGAAACGGGCACCTAGGGTGTGTTGGAGGACCAGGGTGGGTACAACTGCCTTGGCCTCTCAGCACTCAGGCGTGAGCCATCTCACCTCACGCACCGCCTGGGTTTGCAGGGGCTCTTGGCTTCCCAGGGCTGCAGCCACAGCCACGACCTCGCTCCTTTCCTGGAACGCTTCGGTTAATGAGGGAGCCACCATTTGCTGCAGCCTCCTCAGCCTGGTTCAGCCAGCTCAGGGAGCGGCTTTTCATTAGGGTCACAAAACCTACACCCCCAAATCACACTTTACTAGGAAAGGCAGTGTTTCATGGAGCTTCAGCTGCATGGCTGGGATATGGGGGGCCTGTGGAAGGGTCAGCCCCGGGTGGGTGAGTGGGACAGGGCTGGAGTGGGTGATCCCAGGGCTGGGCTGATCCTGGGGCTGGAGGGCGACCCCTGGGCATCAGCCTGGGGCAGAGGAGGGGGATGAGGACCCGATCTGGGGGGGGCTGGGGAGGGGCAGTCGCAGGGGGGATGAGGCGGGGCAGGGCAGGGGGGCGCGA